TTAATACGGACATTGTCAACGGGCCGGACCGGGCGGGCTTTTGGCCGTCCATGGGCCGCGGGCGGGTTTCGCGCCGCCACGGGACGGGGGCCAATTTTACACTCCTATTAATGTGAATTTTAACATGTCAATGTGAATATTCACATTGTCAACGGGCCGGACCCGCCCTGGCTCGCGGGCGGGTTTCGGGCCGCCCACGGGCCAATTTACATTCCTACAAATGTGAATTTTAATATATTATCAAAAAGTAATTTTAAAAATTAATATTTTTAAAATATAATAATTATATTAATAAAAAATTAAATTTTTCAAAAGACACTATTTTTTGAAACGAAAGGAGTAATTTTTTTTTCTCCAAAACGATGTGGTTTTGGGATAGTCAAACCGCGTCCCCCTACTACGACTGGGAAGAATCAACGGCCCGCTTCTGTCTCTTGAAGACGACTTGGTTACGGCTAAAATGCCAAGTCAACCGCTAATGCCATCCTCATTGTTATATTATTCTACATTCTCTCTCTAAACCACTCAAACTTAATTAATATACTTGAAAATCTCTCGGCTCTCTCGTGCCTTACAAGGATAGTTTAGTAGATAGGAAGCTACATGCAGATCTCAGCAGCAAACCCGTAGCTGTACAGTGGCCACCACCATGTGTCCTGTTATGAAGGAAAACGGAGCATACACCACCACCGCCGCCGCCGCAGCCGCCGTGAAATCTTCCTATAATTTTCATTCAAATTTTACACCACCATCTACCATTTTCATCATCTTTGGAATATTGTTGTTGTTGGGTCCTTCAATATTTTGTCTTGCAGCTGCAGCTATAACTGCAAGGGATACTATAACACCAGGCAATTCAATTCGTGATATCTACAACGAAACTCTCATCTCAGCTGGCAAAAAATTCCAACTTGGTTTCTTTTCCCCTATGGGAGAATCAGGCCACCCCAGATATATGGGAATATGGTATTACATGTTGAAGCCACAGACGATTGTGTGGGTTGCCAACCCTGACAGCCCGCTATTCAGTCGAACTGGCGCTTTCACCGTTGCAGAAGATGATGGCAACCTCAACCTCAACCTCAAGGATATGGACGGAAATTCCATTAATGTCGCTACAGGTCTTACAAACTCACAATCTTTGTCCAATAGGACAACGGTAAAGCTCTTGGACTCTGGGAACTTGGTTTTGAGCGATGATCTATCGGGGATACTATGGCAGAGTTTTTATCATCCAACTGATACCTTCCTTCCCGGTATGATGATGGACGATAATCTAAAATTGACTTCATGGAAAAGCGTCAACGACCCTGCAAGCGGAAACTTTGCTTTCGGGAAATATCAATCAAATAATTACATCATTTGGAAAAGCAACAAAAAATATTGGAGAAGTGGAGGGTCTGGTATCTTTGACAGTTCCGATCAGAAATTGCTATACAAAATACTCCCACTGTTATCAAATTCTAGCAATGGTAAGAACATAACATATTATGGTAAGAATTTAACTATCCCACCAGTTTTAATAGGCAATATTACGAGGTTGGTGATGAGCTATTCCGGGGAACTAAAGCTTTTCAATTGGGATAATGGACAGTGGTCTTTGATATGGTCAGAACCGCGAGACAAGTACAGTGTGTATAATGCTTGTGGGGATTTTGGAAGCTGTAATGGTGAGAATAGTGGAGTGAAGTACTGTAAGTGTTTGCCGGGTTTTGAGCCAACCTCACCAGATGAATGGAATGCTAGTGAATTTTCAAGCGGGTGTACTAGGAAGACAACTATGTGCTTGACGGATAAGAAGAAGTACACATTCTTGAAGTTGAAGAAGATGAAAGTGGAAGGTCCAGATCCAGACTCAACATTTGAGGCGATAAGCGAGGAGGATTGCGAAAAGGAGTGTGTGAGAGATTGCAATTGCCAGGCGTATTCTTATATCGCATCATCTGTTGATGCGCAAAGAGTCCCTAGTACAAACTCATCTGGGTGCATAATTTGGACCTCCCCTCTCAGAAATCTTCACGAGTCTACTGAAGGTGCTCATAACCTATCAGTCCGTGTAGTCCGTACAGATATAGGTACTTTACTTTCTTCCCTTCTAGAAAAAATGGGTGCCCCTCTATGCATTTAAATTTGATACGAGTATTTTAATTCATATATTTCAAATTTTGTACACCTTTCAATATATATATGTACTTTTTTTAAAAATAAAAATTCGTAACATCATGATATTACTGTATAACATTACTGGCAAACATATAGACTAGATCTACTCTTGCTAAACTTGCCTGATTTCAATCTTAACCAAACAATTTATCCTTCTAACTAATTAGGCTAAGTCAATTTGGCCACTCCTTAACTGAGGGGCCAAGATCAATCCTTTGTTGCTGCTCGGCTTGCAGGCTTGTATTGTTGGACTTTCTAACAGAGCACTGATGATCTGGACCAATGGCCCTGTTTCATGGGGCAATAATAGACCCATATATCAGAATTGAGTAAAATTGTTACAACTCAGACACTATCGACCTATCTTTTGGCCTATAAATGATTTTTCTTCTTAAATAGTTGATTGCTGACTTTGAGATTTTAGGGACAGGGTCCTTGACTGATTTGTAGTAAGGCCTAAATGGTTTATGTTCTTGATTTTGCAGAATTAACATCAAGAGATTGTGAGCCTTGTGGTGCTAACATTCTACCCTATCCCCTACGCACTGGACAAAATTGCGGTGACCCAATGTACAACAATTTCCGCTGCAACAAGTCCGCAGGACAAGTTGAGTTCCACGAACCAAGCGGCATCTATAGAGTTACAAGCATCAATCCAGATAATCTTACATTTATCATTGAACTTACAGATACAGTTAAAAATGCCGATATCTGTCGTGCTAACAATTTTCGTGTCAGTCCATCATTACCGTATAAAGTGATTGGTAGCTCGTGTAATGCTAGCTTAGCTGTAGAGATTAGTTGGGATCCAGCACCACAGCCGACCTGTACTTCGTTAGAAGACTGCAAGGATTGGCCTAATTCAAGTTGCAATACAACAGCAGATGGCAAGAGAAGGTGCCTTTGCAATGCAAACTATCAGTGGGATGGCTTGAAATTAAATTGTACTACTCATGGTCAAGGTGAGGACGCTATTACTATACATATAATGAACTATAGACTAATAGCATCATGTGTGAGTGTGACAGTAATTTTCCAGGAAAATTTTGGTGATCCAAAGAGAAACAGGCCTTGTGTACAAATTTTTACAAGTTTTATTAGTGTTTAAACAACTTCAGAAAGTGTTTCGCTGATTTACACAAACACTTGAGAATCACAACTCAAAAACGTCAATGGGGAAAAAAAAAATTATATTTGATATGTTGTTGGACTTCCTTGTTTTTACGGGTTTATACCAATTTATATCATCACAAAACACTACAATAGCGAGCATAAAATGATAAGACATATATATTTTTGTTTTGTTTCAGGAAAAAAGAAGTCATTTTCCTTTGTGATCCATTTTATGGTTGTGATGATCCTGGTTGTGCTCATATGCATCGGTGGCTATATTTGGTACAAAAGAAGGAAGCTAAAACAAAGACAAGGTACTTACTACCATATAGTGTTTGCGTTTTCTGTTCTTCAATATAACAAGCATGTATAACTAAGATATATATTATGTTCAACATCAGAAAGCAGAGAAAGCGTCCAGAGAAATCAAGCGCTTTGCTTGTTTGATACTGAAAGACGGGTTAAAAACTTGATAGATTCTGGTGAGTTCAAAGAAGATGATAGGAAAGGCATTGATGTACCATTTTTTGATTTAGAAAGCGTACTAGTTGCTACAAATACCTTCTCAGATGCAAATAAGCTTGGACAAGGGGGATTTGGGCCTGTTTACAAGGTTACAGTCCCTTCTTTAATACTCACCAAAGCTCATATACAAGAATTCTATGTTTAGTGACAAAATTAATTAGTTTCATGAAAATCTGAACAGGGCATTTTTCTCGGAGGACAAGAAATTGCTGTGAAGAGGTTGTCAAGTCATTCGGTACAGGGATTAAAGGAATTTAAAAATGAGGTTGTATTGATCGCTAAACTTCAACATCGGAATCTAGTTAGACTTTTAGGCTATTGCATCAAAGGTGATGAAAAGATTTTACTCTATGAGTATATGCCAAACAGAAGCTTAGATTCCTTCATATTTGGTTAGCCTTTAAACTTTTTACTCTTAAAACTTTTAGTACGTAGATTATATTCCATTTGGTAATTAATAGAAACTGATCTGAATCATGCTTTCCAATGGATAAATTGCAAGATCGAACTCTATGCGTGTCATTAGACTGGGACAAACGCTTCGATATCATTTTGGGAATTGCTCGAGGGCTTCTTTATCTTCATCAAGACTCAAGGTTGAGAATTATTCATAGAGATCTGAAAACAAGCAATATTCTATTAGATGGGGAGATGAACCCCAAAATTTCAGACTTTGGCTTGGCGAGGATAGTTGGGGGAAAAGAAACAGAAGCAAACACCGCCAGAGTAGTTGGAACCTAGTAAGTAATAACATTACTAGTGTCCTTTAAGCTGTGCTATGTTGATATACTAACTTGTTTGGGTATTTGATATAATGCAGTGGCTATATGTCTCCAGAGTATGCATTAGATGGATTGTTCTCAATTAAGTCTGATGTCTTTAGTTTTGGAGTCATTGTACTCGAGATTGTGAGTGGGAAGAGGAACACCGGATTTTACAAGTCCCAACAAGCCTTTAACCTTTTAGGTCATGTAAGTACTAATTTGATTAAATCCAATGATTTGTTGTTATGTTATTTCATTCAACTCTGATTTGAAAGCAATCTCAGGCCTGGAGATTTTGGAGAGAAGAGAAGGCATTGGATTTGATGGATCAGACACTGCTTGAATCTTGCAATAGAGGTGAAGTTATGAAGTGCATAACAGTTGGGCTTTTGTGTGTACAAGAAGAGCCTAGTGATCGTCCTAGCATGCCAAATGTAGTTTTCATGCTTGGCAGTGAAACTGCAACACTTCCGAATCCTAAACCACCAGCTTTTTTGGCGAAGAATTGGCTTTCTGATGCACCTTCTTCTTCTTCTTCTTCTTCTTCTAGTAAACCAGAAACATTCTCCAATAGTGCGTTGACAGTTTCGGTAGAAGAAGGCCGATAACTAGTGGAATTTTTCATGAATCATTACTTATTCTTATTAGTTTGCATCACCATATTTATGAAGTCTAATATTTTTTTTGGAAAACATAGCTTGTAATTGTGCAATATACGGTTACTTTGTTCCATCAATGAGGGGAATAATTCATATTTTAAATGTTCCCTCTTATAGGAAAAAACAAAAAAATCAATAAAGTGTAGAATTAGTTGAATTGAATTTCCATTCAACATGTGATTCCTTCTAAATGTCAGAAGAATTATTTCAACATTTTAACACTTTCAAATCTTTGGCCAAGTCTGACTCTGACATGCTTGCATTTTGCCTATCCAAATTTAAAGTTTCCAGACAAATTGCATAAACACCATTTCTGAGGTATAGTTTCAGAGAAATTGATCACATAAAACATCACTGTACGGGGAGCGAAATATCCTCTGCTTTCCGTACTCCTTGTACTCCAAGCTTCTCTTGACGGCGTCTACCTGGCAACACAGAAACGGTGAGCTGCCCGGCGGTGGTGTGCCGGATAGACCCTCCGACGATCAAGTCAGTCCACTTGAAGAAGAAGACTGTTAGAGAGAGAGTATTCTTTTTGGGGAAGAAATTGCATACCTCTAACGTTCGTCTTCCACCATATTTCTAGGCTGGCCATGCAGTCTCAAGATTGCGCGCGCACTACCTCTGCTGTCCTTCCCTGGACAGGTGGCAGTGCTCGCCTCCCACCACCTTACGCGTGTAAAGGCTTAGTCCTTCCACCAGTACACGCAGAACTGTCTAATGGTATTGAGGCATGCGTGGAGCAGATGTCCTCTCCCTCGCGCCATTGGCCCAGGTGGCACACCTGACCGTAGTACCACGACCGGCCTATCTCCTGCGAAGAACTGTCACTACAGGCACTCAACCGAGCTATGCCCCACCGGACTGCCCCTTGGCAAAGGGGCAGAGGGGTGATGCTCATGGGTCGGGCTGGCATTGACCGGTTTATCGTGGCATACCGGTCGCGAGGCATGCCAGCCTCCGTCCGTTCTACCTTCATCTGAGGTTATCTGGAATCTGCCCATCTCGGCTAACCGGTCAGAGACGTGCCATCCATCACTTGTCCATAGTTTAGCCCGAGCTACCTGTAGCCCGGTCTCACCACTTGGCTGTGTGCCCTGCCAAACATTTGCTAGTCGTAGCTCGGCGAGGCTTAGTTCACGCCCGGTCAGCCGATCTTTTCGACCGAGCAAAACATACCCACCGGCCCTCTCAGTAGAGGAAATAGCATGGCGCCGTGAGGTCTGTCACGACTCGCCCTATCTTAGCTCGGCCGTACTAACGGCGCAAATCTCCCCTCTCAATTGCCCCTTAGTCCCATCCGAGTCATCGTGATTGGGATTATCTCCGTGACTGAGCCAACGGTTAGTGAATTGCATCATTTCCTGGCTGAGCATGGTTGGGGCAATATCTATCGCCGAGCTATATCATTTGGTCGGTCATTTCCACTGCAGTCTTGTCAAGCGTCGTACCACCGTACTGATAGACGCGTTCTCAGTGCCACGTGGCTTCACGCCATTGGGTCGTGCAGCCAGCTGTTTTGCACGCGCAGAATTCAAACGGCGCAGCCGTTTGGGTTTTCCCCCCCTTTTTATGCACAAACGAAGGGTCAATTCGACTCTTACTGTTCATCTCTCCTTTGAGCCTAAACCCTAACCTCATAAACTCCATTTCCTTCACCACCGTCGCTGCTGCCTCTCATTTCACTCACCGTTTCTGTTACTCCTGAAGCTGCGTTCAAGCTCGCGGGGACTGCTTCACTTCGCATCCGTTCTTGGTGAGTTTTTTACCCCTTTACTACTTTTTCCTATAGGCTCTTCAATTTTTTGTGCTTTCGTTCTTTATTTTCTTTGCTTGGAACCTTCTAATATCTCCTTGATGGGGGGTCTCGGCACATCATAGGGCAAACTGTAACTGGATGGGTATATGGGGCCATCGTGCCCCCGTTTCTCCTTGGTTCGAACAAACGAACCTTGAACTTAGGATGAACAAGATGAACAGGATGAACACTGTGCACGACCGAGCTAAATGCTCATTTAGATCCGTAATTATGCCTTCAACCGATCAAAAATGGTTTGTGGCTTATTGCTGAGGTCTCAACCGAGTTAGACACTTAGTTAGATTGGTATGTAGGAACTCCACTTCAAACCTTGAGATCTCCACTTCAAACCTTAATCGAGCTGTAACTTCTTTGAATCTCCTTTCTGGACCTTACCCGAGCCAGAAGTGGAGAGTTAGAGCCGAACTAGGAAATCGACCAAGTAGCATAGCCGAGGTAGGGGTCGAACCGGCCAAACACCAATAATCCCTTCACTGAGCCAATTCCCATAGGGGCCGCGCAATTTATGCCGTGCTAACCCTTGGAATTATTTTTTAACATGCAGAACAAATAGGACCGACCAATCCAGTCCAGCACTAATTGGTGGAGCTCAAAGTCCGAGCAGACCCACCAACATTTTTGACCGAGATATACACTATATCAAATAAAACCGAGATAGATGGGGAAGTACCGCTACATGGTTAGCTCGCCCGGTGCGATGGCCGAGTTTCGCAGGGATTATAACATCCCAGATGACGTCATCTTAGAGCTTGCCAAAAAGGGAGACACCCCTTGGGGAGATCTAGACCGGTGCCCCTTTGCGGTCATGTCAATAGTAGAGGGAGGGCTCCACTTCCCAGTCCAGCCCTTGATCTGCGAATTTTTGAGGCAGACAAGGCTTTGCCCGACCCAAGTTTCAAATAACACTTACAAAATAATAAACGGGGTCGTCGAGCTGAACCGGAGGCTCGGTCTCAATCTCGGTCTGGCTGAAATTTTCCATCAGTATAGTCTTAGTAGAAATAAGAGCGGGCTTTGCTGGTACCTCAAAGTGAAGAAGGGCCGAGCAAAATTCATAAAGGGGAACCCGGACAAGGAGACCAACGACGACGACTTCTTGTGGGTGTCCGGTCGCTATGAGGACACCGAGGCACCCATACCGGGATGGTATATTAGAAAGGATTTTGGCAGTGCCGGTGAGTTGCTCGGCTGACCGCGCTATTTGCTTTATGCATCAATTACTTTCCGTGCCGATCTAACACTAGTCTTCTTTTTGCAGATAAGCACCTAGCAGCAGACTACCACCAGGCCAACCAAGAGGCAATCAGAGCCCTGCTGCGCCATCCTATCGAGGAGAGGGAGGCTTCGAAACTGCTCGGCTTCGAACCGACCTACCACTACACCGCACCGCGCAAGAGCCGGGTTACCGACTTTCTGCGTGAGCCATCCCCAGAACCAGATCCAAACCTACCACCGATTAGGCTTGTTCCCCTCACCGCCGAGCAAGAAATGGCGAAGATTAGGGCAATCAAGTCCATGATTACTGGTGAAGAAGGCGAGTCCCAAACACCGGAGGCAACCGGGGGGACATCCTCCACACCCGCCAGGCAACAAGAAGGGGCAGTACTGGCACTTGCCAGCGTGCAACCGGCTGGTCGGTCCAAGAAGCGGCAGAGGAAGGAGCAAACCGGGCCGCGTCTGGCAGATGAAGATTCTACCGATCGCGTCTCCATCGAGCTCGGGGACCAGACCGAGCAACCGCAGACCGACAGATCCAAGGGCCCAACCACCCCCCCGGTCTGGGCGCTCGAGTTCAAATATCAGGGCCGAGCAGTTTCTGCTGAAGATTCGGTCTACGCGGACAAGGACTACTCGCTTGGTTTCAATTTGACCAAGGGGTTGATCTTGCCCGCTGATATGAAAAAACACGACGAGCTTTCCGACCTCAAGGTCCTCCCCTCGGCGGCAAAATCCATAGTGCTGGTAAGTTCTCCATTCTTTTCTTCGAACTGTTTGCTCGGTTTTTGCTCGATTTTTCAAATACTGATGATCTCTCGCTTGTTTTCAGGCCGCGCAAAAGAACTATTTGGCCCACGACCGAATGATCAAAGTGCGGCAGAGCCTGCAGGATGCCATAGCTGAGAATAAGGAACAAAAGGCCGAGATAGCGAAGCTTAAAGCTGCGCAGGAGGCAGTTGAGGCCGAGCGAGATACCCTGAGCCAAAAGGTTGACCGAGCTAACGAGGACAAACTTCGGGCCGTGAAGTCGACGAAGGCTCGGTATCTCGCCGAGCTGAGGAAACTGCGCGATGCACACAAAGCCAAGAAGGACAAGGCCGTAGATGATGCAGAAGACCGGGGATACGCGCAGGGCGAGAAGACCTACGAACGGCAGGTCCAAGCGACCAAGGACATTTTTTTCCAGTGCGGCTGGAAAGCTGCCGTGGAGAAAGTTGGTCTTGGTCAGGATTCTGACATGTTCAACAATCTGCCTGCTGCCTATATCCCGGTCTACATGCAGGCGTACTCCAAGGCCACCTAAAACCGGCTCATCGCGGAGGCAAGGAAAGAGGCCGAGGAAGAAGCCGCTGCCGCGAAACAAGCCGAGCAAAATCCTCCCGAAGCATCTCCAGATACGGAGGAAGAGGCTGATCGGGATGTTGCCTTGGTGGAAGGCACTGACGATGACGTCGAAGAAAACCTGCCCGAGCACAATGTGGAGGAGGCTGAGCAAACTGTGCAAGTCGCCGAACAAACGGTTGACGTAGAGTTGGATTGACCATTTTTTTTTTTTTTGAATGTAACCGGGCTATGCCCCCCATCTTGTACTTAAATTTCCTCTATCAATGAAAATTTTTGACTTTTTGCTCGCTCATCTTCTATTGCTTTTTGGCTTCAACATGCAAAATTTCCTTAAACGTGTTCAAACTTCAACTAGCAGCTCGGCTCCTTGAAATTTCAAATGCACCTTTTAAAATGCCGAGCAAAATCCGCTCGGCCTTGACAGTTTTCAAACGTTATAAAATTCCAGTACTTCAATGTGACCGAGCAAAGTCAGCTCGGCTTTTTATCGGTTGGACAAAACACCAACATGCTAAATCTGGCCGAGCAAAGTCAACCCGGCCGCTACATTGGGCAAAACACCAATGTTTCATTTAGGTTGGTCATGTCGCCAATATTTCTTTTCCGCCGAGCAAAGTCAGCTCGGCTTTTTATCCGCTCGTTTTCCATATTGGACAAGACACCAATACGCCGTCTGGGCCGAGCGAAATCAGCTCGGCCCTTACATTGGGCAAAACACCAATGTTTCAGTTTGGCCATGACGCCAACATTTCGACCGGGCGAGCATATTCAGCTCGGTCCCAATGCGAATTGGTCCATACGCCAA